AATCAAACAAAAATTAATGACATTCAAGCCACGAGATTTCATACCTACTGAAATTACAAGATATTAGAGCCGCGATATTTCAGACAAAAATAGGACTTTTCCAGACTAGTGTAAGGGGGCAGCAGTCTGAAGTCAAAGTCAGAAGTTCCAACGTTTGTTTGACGATTTGCACACAACACGTGCAGCACATTATGACTCCCAGGAGTCCCAGCAATGGTTTTTTCACCCAGATCTGCTTTTTTAACCTCTCCTGGAAATTGTATTTAACAGTAGGGAATTTTGGTCTTTGGATAGGTAAGATATTCTCACACTTATATATAAAAATGAATCTAAAAGCCTACCTTGTTAGTGTTACACCTTCCACCGCAGTGACAATTGGTACACCAAGAACCGAGCTAATCAGAAACTGCTTTGCTTTCAATATCGTGTTTGTGTGTGGTTCTGAATTTGATAATTGGCTTACCGGGTTGGCAATGTCTTACTTAATAAGATTCACTAGTCACTTATCTGTATCAGACAAATTTTTGCAATGAACATGTTCTAAAGTTAAAAAATTACATCAACTTTCACAGAAAATTTGTACAATTTCACCAATACAAACAACTTTTTGTTTTTGAAAACGCACAAAATGATGGGATAAACTGCAAATCTTTTGCAGCATATGGCATATTATGCTATGATGTTAACATATGACAAGATGCCACTGCCAAGATGGTGTTCCACAATCCACACTTTGTTTGGTTATGTCAAGTATGATTTCACAATAAATAGATTTGATCCACATTCCACACTGAGATTCAAATGACGGGAAGTTGTTTCAAAATTTAAACACCTAATAATACATGTCCAGATATGAATTTTTTCATACTTTTGCCCTATTTTTTGTTGATATTGTGATTATTGTCTAAGTAACGTCACTCCAGATTCTGAATGATTTTGTCTCCCATCACAAGTTTTCAAACATCTCATGTCTTTTGAAAAATGATTGTTGTTTAGAAGCAGCAATTATTGCATTAAAAAATCATCAAGCACTTAGGCATGTACCATGTGGTGTATTAACACGTTGGCCGCGATTGCTGATTTGGCCTGAATGCCGTACGGGCGATAGGTTCAAACTTGTATATTTTCAGTTACCCGGCAGATAGCAAGGAGAAAAGTTGTGTGCAGCTCTGCAGAGGTATGTTCTGTCATTATGTCATGTAAAATTGGTGACCTTATTTGGTGCACATTGCTCAGGGTTGAAATTTGTCATTATTCCTGCGATGTGTACCAAGTGAAACCGTGCCTATTGTGGCTCATATTGGCTCACATCGCCAAGCGTAATCACTTCTAATACTGTGAGTGATGTGTACCAAGCAAAGACATGCATCTATGGCTCATATTGTTAAAAAATGCCTAAAGTTATCACTTATATTACTGTGAGTGATGCGCGCAAGTAATCTACATTAGTTTTGAGTCATAATTGCACACATTATGACTCAAAATTACTGTGTGCATAATTGCACACAGTATGACTACCGGTATCTCTTAGCTTTTTGTGAACGATGTATATTACGCATGGAAATTACTATGGAAAGAGATTGGTGTCCATGTTTTCATAATCCTGAATAAAATTGAGGGTATTTACATTGTTAGTTCAGTTATATTTACCTTATAGAGATCGTTCTTTGTATATATTGTCTTGAGCTTCTGTTACAAGCAGCATCTCAGAGAGAGTAAAATCAGGATGTATATCTCAAATTATTGAGTGGGAAAGAGGACAGCCCATTTTCATTGAACCAACTAGAACTAAAACCAGGATGCACTGCCATGAATGCTACAACATGCTCTCAGCAAATGAGGGAAGTGCTGTAGCAAAGGTGAAACTCAAAGGGTAAAAAAATATTTTAATGACTGTTAAGGAAAACCATACATGTGCGTTAATTGTTTTTCAATCACGTATGCAAGATAATGATGTTGGCAACACCCAATGTTGTAGTTTCAGATCAATAAAAAAATATTTTATTTTGTTTTCATGCAAAGATAGATATATATGTTGCTTTCATCAATGGACACAAATTTTGTACTTTTTGTATTACTTGCACTTGAAAATTAGACTATTTCTCTAAGCATTAGTTGACCTCTAAGCATTCCCTAACATTCCTATTGAATTGTATCATTGAAATTTTATATTTGAAAGAGTAATAAGATTTTATAAAAATATCTATATTTCAAAGGCATGTACCACATGTGTACACATCGCAATTCTGAGAAGTACAGCATGTACATATATAGTGCACATCACGGCCAATGTGTTAAATAATAAAAGTTAATTTTATAAAATATCATTTTTAATTTAAAATTTTTAATTTAAATTTTTAATATTTTTAATTTAATTCTACAACTGCAGCCAGTAAAAATGAGCATCATAGAAACAAAGGTGGAATTGTCATCCATATATCCCAAATTGAATGACAATGAATTGTCTTGGTAGGTAATGTATTTTATTAGTCCTGTTTACATATATATATATGTATATATAAGAATGGAAATGCCACTTCTATTTCAGAATCTGTTAATGAATACACTTGTGAAAACTACCGTAATACTTATGGTTACTACTGTAGCTGTACTGAGTGTACCATAATACTACAGTACTTAGAAACTGTAATATTATGGTTGGCAATGTTGTACTACCGGCATCGGCATCATTGCCAACCAAAATGCGAAAAAAAGTCAGACATACTTATGCTTTCCTTGTGTAAACGTGTATGAGATTTTGCTCCCTTAAATAGCTTTGGCGGTGTGCATCATGTTTAACTCTTATCGGTGGCGTGATTTGTTATTAATTCAAAAATGTTAATATTTTGTGTTTGACTTGGAGAAAAGTTACTAATGAATTAATATTTAGTTTAATTAAAATCTTAAGGTGTTGCAACCTTCATTCTTGATTCTTTAAAGTACAACTTTAAAGTACAATCCCTCCTATTTATATCCTTTCTATCTTAACTAAAAATTTTGTTCAAACAAGTGGCGGAGCTGGATTGAAAATAATATATGAACCATAATTTTCATAATTGCATCTTGTTTGTACATTTACTAGCTCTAAAAAAGCCCTAAAAAATGTTAAAAAGTTATATTTCAAAAAATGTACTTCTGTTCAGGCTTGTACTAGGTACTCTGTAGTAAGAAAATATTTGCCATATTAAAAAATTTGGCTTGAGCAAAATTTGCAAAGAGGTGTTGGCTTTAAAACCTCATTGACAAAGTTTTCATATATCAACCCAAAAGAAAATGGCGCCATTTCCACATGATGGGTATTAAGGGATGCCCCCCCCCTGGGGTGCTACAGGACACCCCTAAAAATGCATCTACAGTGGAACCTTGGTTAGCAAAGGCTCTAGTTAACAAAAAAATCAATTACCGTAACAACAAAGATTTTTGATTACATTTACCTTGCACAAACTAGGCCTTGTTGATATATGCCATAGGTAGTTTCATGTGCTCAGTTTCACCTGCTAGTTTTAAAAACCATTAGGGAAAAAATCATTTTCACCTTTGATTGTAAAGAAAATTTGCCTAACATACTAGAATGGGTCTACAGTGTCCATCTGGACTAAACTGAGAGAATTTGTCAGAAGCAACATGCGAATAGCACCATGGACAAGGAGTCAGCTTTGTTGCCAAGATTGCTCTTTCAGGCATAATACAGGAATGAACTCTTTCAACTTCACTGAAGATACCAGTATTTACATAAATTTTAGCACTCTCTTAGCAGTGGTGTGAGTTAGCCAAAATAGTACCCATGTGCCCTGGACAACTTTAATCATGTATGATGTTATTCTAGTTTAACGAATATCATAAATATTCTGGTTTAACAAAATTACATAAAATAAATAGGTACTATGTTGCCTCAATCTCTGAAAACCACAGATGAAAGGATATTTTCACATGATATTTATTAGAAAAAATCTGCTCAATTTTCCATAATGTAGGTAATCTAAAGCACTGTCAAAAAAAGTATTTTGTTGAAAAAAACGAACTAATAAAATATCAAAAGTGATCTCCATAGTGTATAACTACGTATAGATTCCTTGAAATAAATTTTTATAAAGAAAATAATTTAAAAGATTTCTTTTTATTATTAGCATCTCATTTTCAGAATCACTCATTTCACAGGAATTGCTCTTTCCTCCGAGATGCACAACTGTTTTCTGATTGCATAAGCATGTGCTAGGTAATAGTAGATATCTTTAAAATTGTTGAATAACCTGGGAGAATATGCAGGCATCTTGTTTTGCTTTTGCAAGCTTTTAACTGGAGATATTACATTGCACAATCAATTTAGTAACCAGGATGTTACCTTCTGTTAATCTTCTATTAGGCTAATCCCAATGTTTACAGCTTGGTGCATGTGAAGAGAGCTCTTTACTTACTGGTTAATTAGGCTTTATTTAGCATAAAATATTTTCTAATTATTCCTTGTGGAAGTTTTTGAAAACAGATTTTGGATTACTGATTTATAATACCAGGCTTATTTCGTTAAGGTAGACTAATAAACTTTGGAGTTGGGATAAGGTTGCTTAGTTATTTCAGTTCCTAGATGGTTTGATAGACAAATTTGATTATTCAGATTTTTCTCTCTGCAGTCGGAAGTTTCATACATTTTTCTATTTTTATTTGTTTTTTTGCTTGGGGATGTTGTAATATTTGGCAGTTATAATATTTTAGTTGGTAGTATAATGAGTAGAGAAATTTGTCCATAAGTATGTCTAGATATACAGGAGATTTGTAGCTTTGCTAAGCCTTTAGTACCTATGTATTTATGGCAGGTATAGCGAATATATTCTTGCTTTGCCCTAGTACTACTGGGATGTCCATGCATAGCAGCCATAGACGGCATGCCTATTGCTGGTGATATCCTTAACACATTATTTTCCTCAAACTGAATGATTATATAATTAACAGTCTTCTGAGTCATTTTGATAATTAATTTTAGTTATAATCCGTTCATTTTTTTCAGCCATAGTTTTCAGTTTTTTTTTTGTGAAAGGAGAACTAGAAATGATTGATTCCTGCCGATCAGAAATTCATGATGAAAATTAAATTTTTGTAGGCCACTGAATGAATTCCAGTGTTGGAATGCATGCTTCCTCGCCCCGTTGTTCTTCCAGAACGCCTTCTTGACACGTCTTCAGGTGAGACTGCATTCTAATAAATGATTGCCGCATAATCAAAATAATGACCCATAGAACACATAGCCCCTTTAGCGGCCTTTGCTGGGTCTGGATGACCTGCACAAGGGCAAAAAGTGCATTAATGTTTGGACAAAGTGTCATATATTTTTATGAGAGCGAGCTAAAATGTTCAAAAGTGCAGAAAACTTTGATAGATGAGCATGGAATGAAAGCTTGGAAGCTATGAGTCTTGCGAAATTTTTGCTTTTACTAGGCTATTTATGGACCATTGAGAATGCATTTATTATTCAACATGGCATAAAGCAATGCCGTTATTTTTCTTGTTACACCAACAATCTTTCTCGTAAAATTGCAACAATTGTTACGTTGATAAATGTATTATGTAATAGTTATTAGTTAAGCTTCAAAAACTGATGAATGGTCATCTCCTTATGAATGTTCTTAATATTCTTAATAGGACGTAGCGATTAGTCGATTATTAAGTTGACCAAACGTTTATTTTTAACGGCGCTTTATTTCATCAGTGTCAGAGCTGCTCGCGATGGCGGCATATGCAGAGTGCCGCTCTGAACTCGACCGTCTGGGTTACTCTGAAGTGCTGCCTCCAGCTGCCCTGCCTCTGGTGCTGCATATGCTCAGAGATTTTAATCTTCTGCATGACCAACTGCACGCTTCTGAGCTGGTGAGTTAAACCTTATTACAGTTAAACCTTATTACAGTTAAACCTTATTACAGTTAAACCTTATTGCAGTTGAACCTTATTACAGTTAAACCTTAGTGCAGTTGAACCTTATTGCCATTAAACCTTATTGCAGTTAAACCTTATTGCAGTTAAACCTTGTTGCAGTTGAACCTTATTACTGTTGAACCTTATTACAGTTTAACCTTATTACAGTTAAACCTTATTACAGTTGAACCTTATTGCAGTTAAACTTTATTACAGTTGAACCTTATTACAGTTAAACCTTATTACAGTTAAACCATATTACAGTTAAACCTTATTATAGTTAAACCTTATTACAATTAAACCTTATTACAGTTAAACCTTATTACAGTTAAACCTTATTACAGTTAAACCTTATTACAGTTAAACCTTATTACAGTTAAACCTTATTACAGTTAAACCTTATTACAGTTAAACCTTATTACAGTTAAACCTTATTACAGTTAAACCTTATTACAGTTAAACCTTATTACAGTTAAACCTTATTACAGTTAAACCTTATTACAGTTAAACCTTATTACAGTTAAACCTTATTACAGTTAAACCTTATTACAGTTTAACCTTATTACAGTTAAACCTTATTACAGTTAAACCTTATTACAGTTAAACCTTATTACAGTTAAACCTTATTACAGTTAAACCTTATTACAGTTAAACCTTATTACAGTTAAACCTTATTACAGTTAAACCTTATTATAGTTAAACCTTATTACAATTAAACATTATTACAATTAAACCTTAGTACAGTTAAACCTTAGTACAGTTAAACCTTATTACAGTTAAACCTTATTACAGTCAAACCTTATTACAGTCAAACCTTATTACAGTTGAACCTTATTACAGTTAAACCTCATTACAGTTGAACATTACTACAGGTAAACCTTATTGCAGTTAAACCTTATTGCAGTTAAACCTTATCACAATTAAACCTTATTACAGTCAAACCTTATTACAGTTAAACCTTATTACAGTTAAACCTTATTACAGTTAAACCTTATTACAGTTAAACCTTATTACAGTTAAACCTTATTACAGTTGAACCTTATTACAGTTAACCTTATTATTCTTGTTCTCCATAGCTGCCATCATCTGACCAGTTTAAATGATTCTAGTTGTTGAATAATTTTTTTCCATCACGAATACTGGAAAAAAATGTGCCTTAACAAAAATACTATTCTATATTATGAATTTGCTTGCTATCAGCAAGTATGTAAATGAGGTAAGAGTCTTATGAATATGACGAAGAATTGAGATTGCAAATCAGCGGCAATGTCAATATAACACAAAACTTTATTATCAATATCGCTTCATGTTTTGTTTAGAAATTTTTCATTCTCAATTTCACAATGAAATCATGACTATTTTACGTTTATTCTATTTAGTTATTGGTATTATCGTCGTCAACATGATTAATGAACCCAGATTATTGATCAATGATTGGCGATCTCGAAGTCAGATTTCCCTTCTCAGAATCTTCTTTGAAGTTGCATTCAGAAAAATGGGCGACACTTGACCAAGTAGCGATGCACTCCTTCTCAATGTTTAGGTTATATTGACCCAGTTTGACCCGACAACAAGGCGTATTAGTGCTACAATGTTCTGCTCGTTCTGTGGGTGAGAAAGTGTGTTAATATTCGGACAGTTTGACCCAGTCATTTCTATGAGTGTGAGGTCGCCATTATGGCGAGCGTATATCTCGCCTCGGTTATTGTATTATTGGAGTTGATGGAGTTTAAACGTTGCTTTACATTTTATATTGCGCCCTAATTTTCTATCAATTGAATAGCATAAATTTTTTTAAAGTTGGATTATACTACATGTAATTTCGTAAATTATCGATGCATGTTACGTTTGTTGTAATTGTTCTTCCTTTCTAACTTAAGTGCTATTCACCACGATTTTTATTTATATAATTAGAGAATTACATCAGCCATCTTGTTCACCGGGCTGCGATTAATCGTCTCGTCCATGCAGTCACTCATCAAGAATTCTGCGTGTAATGATGAGTGACTGATGTGTAATGATGAGTAATCATGCGCGTGTCTTATCGCTTCATAATTGCGTGACCTGACATGATTAAGATGCCCTCGCGTGGCAGTGTGCCACAGGCAGCTGCCGGAGCAGGTTGTGGCTGCTCCGTGTCTCGGCATCTTCACAGGAACGCTCGTTCCTGTTTAATTAGTCATGTAGGTGTGCGAGGAAAACTCCCGCTGCTAGATCCTAGTGTTATTTTATGGTATTTAATTGTCTTCATAAATGTGCAGTATTTGTTGGCTTTTTCGGCGCTCAAATTTCAATGGAGGAGAATCTTTGAATCCGTTTCATACTGACTCTGAAGTCTGAAGTTCTATTACTTACAGTGAACATGGATCTATAGCTCTGATTCTGCGGTGCCATCTGGGTATTGTTCTGCTCATTTGTGCATGGCGGTTTAAAGACATATAGCAGCCTAAGTACACGTAATGGCCTAAAGTACACATAACGGCCGGCCTAGGTACACGTAACGGCCTAAGCACACGTAACGGCCTAAAGTACGCGTAACGGTTCAAGTATACGTAGCGGCTAATTTACCGTCGATGATTGGCTGACGAAGTTACGAACTTGTAAATATTTCTGATAGTACGCCTCTGCATGGTCTCGTCTACGCTATCCCGAAGCCCGACATCCACTTCCAGTAGAGCCGCGCTCAGCGGTCGCAAGTCACTAAGATATTCAAAGGTCGCACTGAACTTGATCTTCTTCAAGGAAATGATTATTGATCTACAGAATTCTACGTGGCTGTCGTGTCTGCACATGTTATAGCTGGGAATGACGATCAAATCATTTCTTTTTAAAAAGTAAAAATTGTTTCTACGGTAACATTCCTTGTTTTGCAAATTATAAATCGGCGGTTTTTTACATCGGCAAATTTATCAATAATGATTTTCGTGATTTCTTTACATTTTCAATAATTTATGAAAAGGGTACAATAGCAGAGTTTCGGTTAAGAGCAAAAAATTATTATACATTTTCGTTGTTGTTGGCTTCGCGTGTATTTTTGGCCCTTATGACTCAATCGGATATAACCCATCAACATCTTATTAGGATCAGTTTATTCTTGCGAAGTCATTAACCACGTTTTATGTCGCAATCAGGTTTATCAGATTTAATGAAACTAGCAGGTTTATTAAAGCAATCAGTTTGATACCAGTACGTACTGGGGGCATCACGGATTGGTTCGCTTATTGGCCGGATCCAGAGTAATTTGAATGTTTGTTTGTATAACCGTAGAGTTTTTAACTGGACTATTTAATCCTCACGAGCTCGGGTAACAGTGAACTGCAACGCAAAAAATTACTTGGGAACACACAGTCTGAAGATTGAACTAAAGAACAAAAAGTATGTTTCGACGATAAGGATTTGCTAATAAGATATACGGTATAGGTACTTTCTCATGTTATATGACTAAAATGAGTTAATCACGTACGAGTACATCTGTCCTCCAATTGGGAATTTTGAAAGGCTCTCTGCTCCATTATTTTGAAGTTATATCTATCATATATTATTTATTGGAAGAAAGGGTGCCAGAGTTCGGCAGTATTCTTACGCTTTTTAGCGCCTTTTCTCATTTTTGGAAAAAAGGCTCTATTGTGCTGGCCATGTCCGTCTGTCTGTCCGTCCGTCCGTGACTTCATGATTTCTTCGACGAGAAAATGCGATTTCTGTCACTCACTGCAGTGAGTACTGAGTTATATTTTTTAGAGCTGCACTTACTAAACTCAAATTTGCTGCTTTGACTATGAACTCGTCTCCGCTATCACGTATTATAATTAATAATAGAATAATAATAATTAATAAGAGAAGGCAGGTGCTTGTGACAAATCACGTGTAAGATTCCCAATAATTAACCGGGACTAGTTTCTACGGTCCAACGCTCGTTTGTTATGATTATACGAAGTTTATATAATGTATTGTCTATGCGATGCCTATGTCTGTAATCGTACTATTTATTGAAATATCAAACAGCGAAATGTTTCGTGTGGTGCTTCCGCGTGTTATAGGAGCCGCGTGACTGACTTTTAATTAATATTCGATCGTTTCCTGACCTCCATATTAATAGACCTGAATTTCACCTCAGTATTTATACACTTAAATTATACATTTCTATTAAAAAACCTCTATTACGCCTCCATTATTATAAATACGTCCACTGTTCATGGACAAACGATGGTCAGTAACGTGGCTGTCGTGGTGAACATTTCCTGAACACGAATTTGAGTTGATTTTGAACTATCGTTGCAGTTACGATTATAAGAAAAGATTCGAAATAACTTATTCAAGGGAGGTAATTTTAGCCGTGGTAACATATTCAACTATCATAATTTGTAGTTACATCAGGCGCCGTGAAGTGCGGGGCCATCAGCTGATTACTGCGGACGTCGCGGGTCTATATTTACTGCCGCAGCTTACTTGTATTCTCAAGCATCGCGTTAAATAAATAATAATATTTACTGCCGCAGCTTACTTGTATTCTCAAGCATCGCGCTAATAAATAATTATATTTACTGCCGCAGCTTACTTTATTCTCAAGCATCGCGTTAATAAATAATTATATTTACTGCCGCAGCTTACTTTTATTCTTAAGCATCGCGTTAATAAATAATAATATTTACTGCCGCAGCTTACTTTTATTCTTAAGCATCGCGTTAATAAATAATAATATTTACTGCCGCAGCTTACTTTTATTCTTAAGCATCGCGTTAATAAATAATAATATTTACTGCCGCAGCTTACTTTTATTCTTAAGCATCGCGTTAATAAATAATAATATTTACTGCCGCAGCTTACTTTTATTCTCAAGCATCGCGTTAATAAATAATAATATTTACTGCCGCAGCTTACTTTTATTCTTAAGCATCGCGTTAATAAATACAAATCACCAAGCCAGGCCTTTATTGTCGCGTCAGAAACTAGCTCTATACGATATACTTTTTTATTCATGGTAAATCGTTGCGAAATTGATAAGTCTATGCGATACACGAGACTCGTGAAAGCACCATATACGGATGTTGCTGCATGAGATTATGTGCTATGTTTTATTTGCGTATATAGATTGAAGAAAAGCATCTCGATTATAGGAAATTAAAGCCAAGGATGCTGGGTGTGTGATAGATATATATTCATCGTTATGATGTTAAAAGACTGAATTCGCGCAATGAAACTTGAAGTTTGAGTAAGATGGGTAAAATGCTCAACAATTGCTATTTTTTAGATACCATTTTAGCCATTATTAAACCATCACTCATGAAATTATAAAGATTCGGTTTTTACAGTTGTTGTTTCACTTAAAAAATGAACAAATATTCAGATTCATATTAAAATTACCTTGTATTGCGTAAAACTTGAACTACGTTATCTGCATAATAACTAATGAGCATAAATTTTAACGTGCAATAATGTCGCGTTTTAAATATTCTTAAGCAATGCATCCTGCAGCAACACGAATGCTTACTCTCGCAATGCTTAAGAAAAATTCTTAGTTTTATTTGATGAAGAACTACGGAGCCGTCCATGAATGGGACGATGACAGGTAATCCTGCCCTATAGCAGCGTCGACAAGAATAGCTTTTGTTTCGCTCCAGGAATAAACTCGGCCTTATTCCCAGCGTCGTTCTTCCCTCCACCTTGTTTTTATTTCCTATCTTTTTGTGAGCCCTCCATCGTTCCCTTGAGATTTAACCCACGAGGTGTTGGTTGTAAAGATACGAGTTCTCAAGTTGAATGTCTTTCCATCGATCTTCATTGCTCTGCAGTTGTTGTTGTTAATAGAAAGTATTTTGTTACGTGCTCGGGAGTTCAGGTACCGAACTGCTCTCGAATATATTGATGTATTTACTATTCGGTGATGCTTAGATAAACAATCATTAAATCGTTAAGGTATTTTGATTGTTTAAATACTCACTATTTAATTAGAATTGGTATTTTTGAAACACTCAATGTTTGGGAGAATAATATTCTGAGGTCTTGGACAACAAACCTGATGGTCTTTCCTGCTCGCCTTTGCCACAGGTTTTGTTCCGAAGTTTAGCATCTTTCATTTAACATTAGCAGCTTGTTGATCATCTTGTGGGGAGCAGCCTATAAGTCCAGCATAGTTATAATAGAATTAGCCCCCATTACATCCCTTAACCCCAGTTGTAATGGAATTAATGGCTTAAAAGCTGCTCGATCACAGTTATTATTCATATCGACTCAATCCCAAAGTTGTCTCAAAACGCAACAATTAACAGAGTTTGGGATGGCTGTCGTTCATTGATTCTTGTAAATCTGTTGTCATTTATTGTCCGTACTGCCCGTAATGCCACATCGGGTCACAATGCTGACATGGCCAAATATGACGGGATGGCCAAATGTGGCGGGATGGCCAAATGTGGCGGGATGGCCAAATGTGGCGGGATGGCCAAATGTATTGGTAGCGACGACCAACGTTGCCATGACAACCTCACTGCTCCTCCTCCCTACCCCTCCTGCTCCTCCTTCTCGCTGCCCCTCCTGCCCCCTGCTTCTCCTACTTCCTGCTTCCTGCCCCTCCTGCTTCCTGCCCCTCCTGCTTCCTGCTCCTCCTGCTTCCTACTCCGCTATTACGCGCAAAAATTATGTTGCGGGGAAATTATAGGATTTCCTGCAGTGTGGAATTATCTTGACTTTTAGTACTCGTAATATCAGAAAAGTTTCTGAAAAATCACTGACAAGTCTTGAACAAATGTTGGACATGTCTCCCTCGAATATATATATGGTGATTCAAGATGACAGACTTCTGTATGACCAGATTCAGTATGATGGCATGTGATTCAGTATGACCAGATTCAGTATGACCAGATTCAGTATGATGGCATGTGATTCAAGAGACAGACTTCAGTATGACCAGATTCAGTATGATGGCATGTGATTCAGTATGACCAGATTCAGTATGACCAGATTCAGTATGACCAGATTCAGTATGACCAGATTCAGAATGACCAGATTCAGTATGACCAGATTCAGTATGACCAGATTCAGTATGATGGCATTCGGGTTGACAGAATTTTTCACATCTCGGGAATTATAAAACCTGACTTTGCTGGTTAGTAGTCCCATAATATGTTAGAATATCACTCCATATAGTGATCCTCCTTGCCGTTTTTTGAATGAAGGCCTGAAATAACAAGAATTTGTTGCATGTATCTAGTTTTATTAATTCACAATCACAATTAATTCTAGTTTCAGCCCTCACCGTTTATATGCAGATATATATAAATTCTACAATTCACTTGGTATTCGAACTCTAATTGCAAAATTACTCATACAATCAAGATAGGGCTAGAAAATTTGAATCTAATTCAAATCTAAGCTTATTGTGTGTGAATGTCTTCTAGTACGCCCGCTTTGGGTGCATTAGGCGTCTTCAATGTTATTCCTACCTAAATCAATTCTACCTAAAGATACTGTCTATGTACAGAAAGGGTTTATGTTCTTCGTAATTTTGGCATTTATTCGTACGGTTCGCATTTGCTCCTGTTATTCTCATATGTTCCTGTTGTTCTCATTTGTTCGTGTTGTTCTCATTTGTTCGTGTTGTTCTCATTTTATTCGTATTGTTCTCATTTTTTCGTACAGTTCTCATTTGTTCGTGTTGTTCTCATTTGTTCGTACAGTTCTCATTTGTTCGTGTTGTTCTCATTTTATTCGTGTTGTTCGCAGAGGTCGGGGCAGCAGTCCGGTGTTGCTCACCCCACAGCGGCGCAGGGGCGGCGCCCCATGGAGCGCGTGACGGACCACGACATCGACACGAACGGTTCGTGCCACACGCAACACGCCTCCACGCCACACGCCTCCACGCCACACGCCTACACGCCACACGCCTCGTATTCGTTCTAATTTATCTAATTTCCTTTTATTGAACGATTTTTATGTAGTCTGTGACTGACATGAAATGAGAAATTTTTTGCTCATTTAGACGAGGCCGATATATTTTTGCGTTAATTTCCGTAATTCAATAAGCAAATATGCACGTTTTATCTCGTAATTATACCCGAAGTATATCTCCCGCCAGAGCTGCACACGGACGACGCAAAGGCGGCCGGCGGCGTCGCGTCCACCGTCCACCCGACCATGGCTGGCCAGCGCTGCCTTCAGTGCGTGCTTACTTGATTACTTCAGGCTTGATTAGTGGCACTATTACTTCAGGCTTGATTAGTGGCACTATTACTTCAGGCTTGATTAGTGACATTATTACTTCAGGCTTGATTAGTGGCACTATTACTTCAGGCTTAATTAGTGACACTATTACTTCAGGTTTAATTAGTGACACTATTACTTCATGCTTAATTAGTGACACTATTACTTCAGGTTTAATTAGTGACACTATTACTTCAGGTTTAATTAGTGACACTATTACTTCTGGCTTAATTAGTGACACTATTACTTCAGGTTTAATTAGTGACACTATTACTTCAGGCTTAATTAGTGACACTATTGATTAAAGCTAATTACTGAATGTAGCTTCAATTATGTGCGCACGCATAACTGTAGAAGATTTGTAAGAAGAAACATAATGCAGCCTGCATGTATCATGCTTCCCTATATTTTATCTAGAAAGAATGACCTGCCAGCGGAAGATCTAGTTTATAAACTTATACAGAAGAAAAAAATTATAAATCAGTACTCACTGCAGTGAGTGACAGAGAGCGCATTTTCTCGTCGACGAAAACGTGAAGTCACGGACGGACAGACAGACGGGCAGACAGACAGACAGACGGACAGACAGACAGACAGACAGACTTGACGAGCACAATAGCGCCTTTTTTCCATAAATGAGAAAATGCGCTAAAAAATGCACATGGAAAAGACGTGAACGTCCCTCGTCAATGATATTTCAATAGTTTAGTTTCAGTAGATGAAGCCGTCGCATCATTAAAGTTACGCACTAATATATTACTAATATAAGTTAAGTTACCAACATATTGATTTGAAAGTTAAATGTACCATTAATGAGCTAGTTAAACTTCAGATTGTTAACCCAATTAAGTTGAAAGTTGTTCTTCGTTCAAATCATTATCACGGTAGTTTTACTGACGACGGTACTGGTATTATATAAATGATTGATTAAATCATGAACTTTGACGAATTCACTATTTTTAATTCACTAATCATGAATTAACTTAGAATTTGATAGAAAAAAATACATCAAAAGTTCTATTTGGTTATTAATTAGATTTTTGTTATAATATAGTATTGAATTATATGAAATTATCATATTATGCACCTGGTAATCTGACAGGTGCGGCTGTCACGGTGGTGCTGGCAGAGCAGAGCAGCTGCAGCACGTGTGTGCTGCGCTCAAGGAACAGGTGTGTTATCTTCCTCATCAATTAATTAACTCAAGTGAACTTAATTATATTATTAAATTAATAAATTAACGTTATTTTCTACATTTTTGCAGTGATTTTAATTGAGGAGTAAGCTTAAAGGATGAAGCTTAAAGGATCGATATAAGATGTACGTAGCAATTTGTGATCGGGTCAGACGCTTTGCAAAAAGCTTGCTTAACAGCTGTCATTATTTAGGCACCTATAACTGGTTAACAGCTGTCATTATTTAGGCACCTATAACTGGTTAACAGCTGTAATTATTTAGACACCATAACTGGTTATCAGCTGTAATTATTTAGGCACCATAACTGGTTATTTATCACATCATACCATGTTATTAGACATATTATATTAGTTACCCTAAACAATAATAATGCAGATATTCATTATAAAAACATACTGATAAGATGTGTACCATGCGTGCAGCGTGCGCACAGGACGCGCATGACGCACAGCAGCGTGCGGCGGTGCTGGAGGAGCAGCTGCGTCATGCGTCCTACGCAAACGTGCAGCTTGAGGCTGACGCATGCAACGCGTCATGCGCACTCACGCACACCGTCGCCTGCGCTAAGGTCGGGAGTGCCTAGGTTCTTAACTAGCTAGTGCTACACTAAAAAAAATAGTGGGTTAAACTATCCAATTAGTGACACTCTGTGCCCGAATTAGTGACACTAAACGCCCTGTTCTCAGAAGGAAGTGCGACAGGATAAACTACACATGGGCGAAAGTGCATCGATATTTGAATATTTCCAATAATTTTTTTTAGTGTAGTTAATGCCATGTTTCTCTACGTATTACTGCTCCGCCTAGTATTGCTTAGCACAATATTTTGTCTTTGTTATATTCTTATTTTGTTTTAGTGATATTCTGAATTACAATCAGAAAAGCGAATAGATCGCATTGTCCAAATAGTGGCACATTGCCTGCACGTAGCACTTATACGCCTTGTCAAGACGACGTTCACAAGGACATGCTAAGAAATGCATCGCTATGTGGACAAAGCGTCACGTATTTCTGTGCGTGTAGTGTGTCTGCGCCACACTGACATGACTGCGTGTGTTGCCGCAGGATAAACTGACATGACTGCGTGTGTTGCCGCAGGATAAACTGACATGACTGCGTGTGTTGCCGCAGGATAAACTGACATGACTGCGTGTGTTGCCGCAGGATAAACTGACATGACTGCGTGTGTTGCCGCAGGATAAACTGGACTGCGCTGAGAGTGACCTGGACAAGCAGCAGCGCCTCTACCTCCTCATGCGGCGCGAGCGCGACAAGCTTCTCGCCGATATTATTCAGGTGCCCTATTTTCATCATAGCCTTATTTACAATATAACTCTAATTTTATTATAACACTATTTAGATCATAGTCCTATTTCCATCATAACCCTATTTCATCATAGCGTTATTTCCATCATAGTCCTATTTTCGTCTTATCACTATTTTCGTCGTAGCCCTATTTTCGTCATGTCGATATTTTCGTCGTAGCCGCATATTCTCAGTTTTATTTCTCACGCATTATCCCAAGTAGATGATGGTGCTGGAGCACTGGTTAGGTACCTTGCCAGTGATGTTCTGACACTAGCAGGCATTTGACTAGTAAGTAGCAGCCACTGACTGAGAACTCATGTTATTCGGACAATAACCCTGTTATTTGCGTGAGTGCAGATGCGTAATGAGAAGTCATGTTATTTGGACAATAACCCTGTTATTTGCGTGAGTGCAGGTGCGTCACGAGAACTCATGTTATTTGAACAATAACCCTGTAATTATTATGAGTGCAGGTGCGTCACGAGAACTCCCGCCTGACTCACCAGCACGGGCGACTAGTGGACGAACACAAGCCACTAGCAGAGCAGTGCAGCGCTCTGCACCATGAGAAGAAGCAGCTACTGGATAAGATTAATACCCTAACTCTGCACGGTCTGTTATTGTTTTTAACTAATTTACTAATTGTTTCTTCACTTATTGTTGATATAAGATATTTGCTTGTTCACTCTGCAGGGTCAGATATTGTTTCTTAATTAATTTTTCTTTACTTATTGTTGATGTTAGATGTTCGATTAGCAGCGTTCACTCTGCACGGTCTGTTATTGTTTCTTCACTAATAGTTTCTTTTCTTATTGTTGATATTAGATGTTTAATTAGCAGTGTTCACTGTGCGCGGTAAGTTATTGTTTCTAACTAATTATTAATATTAGATATTTAATAAGAAGCGTCCACTGTTCACAGTCAGTTATTGTTTCTTTACTATTAATTAAAATTGGATATTTTATTACCAGCGTCCACATTACACGATCAATGATATCCTCCATGTTTACTCCTAGGCAACATGAGAGAAAATTGACCGAATTTCCTATATTTGAATTCCTCTCTGCTTCCTTCATATTACATTTAAAAATGAAGATAAAATTGATCGAAGTTAGTACGCGGTAATTGATTAAGTACGGTATGTTAAGTTTACTTTTTTCATGTGACACGATATGTTCCTCCTAATTGGTGTTCCCTCATAATTAGCTGCAGAATAATTCTAATTATTTTAATCGATGTGTGTTTTAGAGCACCGCCTACTTTGTTATTTTAAGATCGCGGAAAATAAGCTCAATAGATGAAAGACGTAGTAAATTAAATCCGTTTTTTCTTTGCAATGTATATAATGTGGAAAACAAACTAATTCTATAAGAGTAATATCCCAAATCTCGTACTCAAATAAATTTAAGGTGTTATTGTCCAAATGGTGACGCATATCCTCACCGTAACAAGCGATGGTAATTAAGGGACTCGCACAACGACACAAATGCATCGCTAATTAGGCAATTTTTCTGTCATTTCTCTTACATATCAGGATATATCGGTAACTATTGCATATATTGCTGGGGATTCTCTGTCATTTCTCTGACATATCAGGATATATTGGTAACTATTGGTTGTATTGCCGGGGATTCTCTGTCATTTCTCTGACATATCAGGATATATTGGTAACTATTGGTTGTATTGCCGGGGATTCTCTGTCATTTCTCTGACATATCAGGATATATTGGTAACTATTGGTTGTATTGCCGGGGATTCTCTGTCATTTCTCTAACATATCAGGATATATTGGCGGGGATTCTGTGGTTAATTTGCGATATTTTGTTGCAGCGGAGGAGCGATCGAACTCTGTAGCGCGGCTACGCGCGGAACAGGACGTGGCGCAGGCGTCGCTGGAGCGCCTCGAGCGCGAGAACAAAAACCTCATCGCCGCTAACTCCCAACTTACGCTGCAGGTTTGAATAATGTTTATGCTTGACTCTTGTTCAGATTTTTCAGACCAATAAGTCAATTGAAAAGTATACGAGCGATCAATGTCCCCGATTTTTTTGTCCATTGAAACGTTTGTCTCTGTGTACTTGAAACAGTGAAATGTTTGTCTCTGTGTACTTGGAACATTGAAACGTTTGTCTCTATGTACTTGGAACATTTAAACGTTTGTTTCTGTGTACTTGGAACATTGAAACGTTTGTCCCTGTGTACTTGGAACAATGAAGCGTTTGTCTCTGTGTACTTGGAACATTGAAACGTTTGTATCTGTGTACTTGGAATATTGAAACGTTTGTCTCTGTGTACTTGGAACATTGAAACGTTTGTCTCTGTGTACTTGGAACATTGAAACGTTTGTCTCTGTGTACTTGGAACATTGAAACGTTTGTCTCTGTGCACTTGGAACATTGAAACAAACGTGGGCTTGTCATTCTGGTCATTGAAACGTTCATAGTTGTGTGATCAAAATTTCAGTCTTTTCGTTACTGTAGCGAGGGGCTTGAGAAAATATGGTGTACTCCGCTTGACGTTGAATGAGTGGTAGGTACATAGTTGAATTACATAGCATTTAACTCTTGCTTCAAGTTGTGCCTTAGTGCCTTACCTTTTTTTTCATGCTTAGAACAAAGACTTGGATCAAACCAAAACTGCGTTGGGAGACGAGGTGAGATAATGCATTATCTTTGATGGTCATTTTGCTCAACGCTGCCTGACATGATATCGTCCTCTCATCAGAATTAATATGTATAAATCTGACCATAATGTTACTGCAACTTAGGTGACTTGATCAGCACAACTTATTAATACGAATATAGTATCAATAATCTGTACAGTATCAATGGTAATTACGTGCTTTCGGCACAGTGTTTTTTCATGGATTCAAATATCAATGGGAAGAACCTTGATACCGATAATCCCTCTTACTTGACTTCTTCAGGTCTTCATCGATGTTCTGTCGTGCTTTATACTCCTTTTTGGATAAATTTCAAATATTGATGCAATTTAAGTTGTGGGTTGTGCAACGGCATGCGAAACTTACGATTTTGCACTAACTTGGATATTTTGCTTAAAAGTAAAAGTGTGTAAAAGTGTAAAAAACTCACATAAATGTTTATGTGAGTGTGTACATCCTGCAGAGGTCGGAGCTAGCAGCGCAGCGAGATGCCCTGAAGGAAGAGGTAACTCTTCGCTTTAATATAAAAATATTAAAGTGTCCCTTAAAAGTAAATAATACTTTATTATTAAGTAAATATTAAAGTATGCGGTGATACATGAATCACTCAACCATTCTCCCCATATTCGGTGTTATTTATGTTTTTATATTACGCGTTACCAAGTTTGTACACTTGAAAGTATTACACAAAATTGATAGAGTTTGGCACAAGAAGCTTCAGTATATTAGCTGTTATTAATGCTGTTCGTATCTAAATGAAAAGTAACGAGCGTTACCGCCAAGAAACAAAGTCGTAGTCCTTAGCATACGGGCACATTTATTGTTATTAATGCTCTGTCTTCAATAGACAATAGACAAATGCGTGGAAAGGGCAATAAAGAAAAGCGTAAATGTGCATAATTAAGTCAATAATTCTTGTTAATAACAATAATTAAGAAAATAATTAATACTTAATCGTGTTCTTAATAATTAATAGTTAATGACGTGTTGCGGTGTGTCAGGTCTCGCGGCTGTCAGGGTTGGTGAAGGAGGCGCAGCAGGAGGCAGGCTACCACCAGGGCGAGGCGGCGACCCTGCAGCAACGCACAGACGACCTCCAGCACCAGCTCGCCGAGACCTGCGACGCCAAAGCCGTCGTGCGTCATGCAAAATAACATTAAACATTATTATAATATAAAATTATTGGTACCAAATAAGAGTCGAATTGAATTATTATTAGGAAATTAAACGTAATAATTTATTACGACCTCCTGCACCAGCTCACCGAGACCTGCGATGCCAAAGCCGTCGTGCGTCACGTGAAATGCCAACATTAATATAATTTAAAAGTATATCAAATGAGAGTCGATTTGAATTACTATATTAGGTAATTAAATATAATAATTTATTACCACCTCCTGCACCAGCTCGCCGAGACCTGCGACGCCAAATCCGTCGTGCGTCACGCAAAATACCTACCAACATTAATTTAATATAAAAATATACGAAATAAGAGTCGATTTGCATTACTATATTGAGTCGATAAATTTAATTAATTATTACGACCTCCAGTACAAGCTCAACAAGGCCAGCGACGCCAACGCCGTCGTGCAAAACTCACTTCAATCATAAACGAGTTTATTAAAAATAAAAAAAGTGTTTGATTTTATGATTAATTGCTTTTTAGTTCGTTTGACTTGGCGCCCTCTAAATCAAACCAGGGATTTCACGAACATATACGAGATATATTGAATAAATGCCTTGTAATAAAATTATGTCGAGGATCATCGTATACACGCTCCAAGTGTATTATTAAAACAATTTCCCACAAACATTTTCATATGTATGAATTTAAGGAATTAGAATAGGTCATTTCTGTAGGGGAATGTACAATATTAATCCTCAGTTGGAGCAGCGCCTGGAGGACGTGGGGCAGCAGCGCGCGTCCGCCCTGGACGAGCTGCGCGCGGCGACTGAGCGCCTCGCGGTTACCCGCCACCGATGCCAGGACCTGGAGGCCAGCGTGCTGCTGGTGGGTTGTGAGGGTCTGCTGGTGGGTTGTGAGGGTCTGGTGGTGGGTTGTGAGGGTCTGGTGGTGGGTTGTGAGGGTCTGGTGGTGGGTTGTGAGGGTCTGGTGGTGGGTTGTGAGGTGCTGCTTGACCTTGACCTTATGACCTTATGATGAGTTGTGGACTTCCTAGTCCCCGGTCACGCTGATGCGCCGCCTTCGTCGTCCTCCGTCTCCGAGTCGTCGTCGGATGTAACGTTGGACGTGTTCCGTCTATTTGCCCTCATTTGGGCCACCTGATGCAAGATGCTGTTGCTTGTCGCTTGCTGATGGTAGTTTCCCATTACTGGACAGTCCGGGATCTTGCTCAACCACTTGTCCAGTTGTCTCTTGAATGTTGCAAGGGTAAACTCCCCTCCTCTCAGCGCTTTTGGCAAGGCATTAAAGAGCCTCGGTCCTACCACGGACAGTGATCCCTC